GACGGTGCCGGATCAAGAAATGGCGTCCACCGATGAACAAGACCCCCGCATAGCCAAAATCGCCAAGGCCATTCGAGTTATCCCTGATTTTCCCAAACCAGGTACTCATCTCAGACTGCGAATGCCCATTTCTAGGCTGAGAGATCCATTTTTTTGCTTCATTAGTGCTCCCTTTGGCTTTGTGGGTGATGGGTATTTTTTGGTACTAGGTTTTGAGCTGAATTGTTTGGAGTAAATTTCTCAACACCCTATTCCTTTTCCTCTTTTGATAGGGATTTTGTTTCAAGACATTACCACGTTGCTTCTTGATACAAAGGCCTTCAGGGACACTATMGATTTGTTCGTGGAGAGGTACAGAGGGAAAGATATCTCTGTCGTTGCAGGTAAATTATCGATTCAATAGGGTCGTTTAATATTAATATCAGGAGGGGAAGTAATTTTTTTGGTTTACCCTTAACCTTTTTGATCTCTTTTGTTCTACAGGAATTGAAGCGAGAGGTTTCATTTTTGGCCCTCCGATTGCTCTGGCTATCGGTGCGAAATTCGTTCCGATGAGAAAACCCAAGAAGTTGCCTGGTACTATTTTTTGCTTGATTCACCTTTATTTTTACCCTTCTGAATCTTTAGTTTGAGCTACCCAGGAACTTCTTAGTTTTTAATTTGATTAAAGCATAAAATTTCTGACTTCCTCCTGTCAAGAACTCTTCATGCATCTAAATGAAATCTTCAATAGCCAGGTTTCCTTTTCCAATGCAAGAAACTTCAAGTTTTTGATCGATGTCATAACATATTTTACTATCTTGATCTCATAATATACTGGATATTAGTAAACTCTGGGCTGTCGTGTTGGATTGCAATGGTTAATTCATCTCCAAATACATGTAAAATCATAATTATGTATCTGAAATGCATCCGTTTGATGATGTTTATCAGGTCAAGTCATTTCAGAAGAGTACTCTTTAGAGTATGGAACAGATAAAATTGAGATGCATGTAGGAGCTGTCGAAGCTGGAGAACGTGCTCTTGTGATAGATGATCTCATTGCAACTGGGGGAACCTTGTGTGCAGCAATACGGCTACTTGGTAGGGTATTTTAAAAGCCAATGTTAAGTATTTCAAGTGGTTATGTTGCTTTATGGTTCATAATGCACCACACCAGCCAGCTAAAAGTATCGATAAAGCCCCACGATTTTACTAGGTTTTTGCTCAGTGGTATTATCTTGGCCGTGAAACTTGCTCAGTTTTAGGCCTCGGGTTATTGATTGAATCTCTTTAATTGCTATTGTTGTTGTGTTTTAGTTTCATAACTTGCTGAGAATCTGCTGAGAAATGATAATTCTTTGTTGACTCAACACTTTGTGGCTTGGCTGCTCTGTAGCTGGAACATAATTCTTCTCTTTTCAACTTCTCTTTATGGGCGTTAAGATATCTTGCTCATAATCTCGTGTAGTTATATTAATTGGTTGTTAACCACTCATGGCAGAGCGCGTTGGCGTTGAAGTTGTTGAGTGTGCTTGTGTGATCGAGCTGCAGGGACTACAGGTATGTATTTGTAAAAGTCCAAGAACGGATCAGGATCTTATACTAGTTAACATAAATGCCCTCGACTTACATCTAGTTTTATATTTGATGATTGTGCTAATCTCTTTAGACGTCGGTCATCTTTTCTTCTGGCTTTTTACCAGGGCCGTGAGAGATTGGGAAATAAACCTCTCTTCGTTCTAGTTAACGCGGCAGCATGATCGTAGAGCCTTCTTCTGTAACATGGTGTGTTTGGTGATGGCGATATTACGATGGTATCGCTGCTAGAAGTTGAAGTTTCAAAGCAATGCATAATTTTGAAGCGGAGAGTCTGGCTAGAAATAAAAGGGATGGTATTGATTTGAGAATTGAGGAGATTAAACAGAAAAAAAAAAGGTCTGTAGACAGTATAAGCTTTCGATTATTCTGGTGGTAATGTATTGTTCTTTGTTAATTGTTATGCTCTCTTTTTCTACCTCTGTTTTCTTTGGCTTCACAAGAGCTGAGAAGGCAGCAGTTGGTGTGGAGAAGAAGTGGTTGATGTTAATTTTGAATTTATGTCAGAAACTTCTTTATTTTGCAGTTTACTCTTTGCAATTTTGGCTCTTGATTTTTCCCTATTAATCAGTATTGATTAGTAATTGCTATAACTGATTGATAATTATATATTTTAATTATCAAATGTCATTTATAATCTTTTGTATTTGATATATTCGTCAATTAGCTTCAGCATCTCTAGATTAATCTAAAATATATCAAAGATCTGAGGAAGTATCATATATTATAATTCTTATGTACATTACTATCGTTCACTGAAAATTCTCAAATTTCACCATGATAATAAAATGAATTATATAATTCAAAATCTAAGAACTCACTCTTTTTTTTAATTGTTATTTTTTCCATTTTGTCCACAGAGGATTTCATGCCCCTCAACCGAGATGAGTTTTAAGGATTTTCATATTGAGGGCATTTTTTAATGACATTTTTATCCTCTTTTTCGTATATATATACTTTCATCAATTCTCTTTATTGCCATTTTCAGTTTACTTTTTTTCATATTTTCCTTTAGACCTCAACTATTCGATGACATTATGTCGTCTAAATTTCAGTGGTAATTGACATATATCTCAAACAAAAARGATATAAAAATATTAAATAAACTTGTTGGGAGGAACAACAGATACAATGGGCACCGAATKTTTCAGAAGAAAAAAAAAAGAAAAAACGAAATATAATGGGCATGCTTCTTGTAGAACAAACTTGAGCCATTCAAGAATCTAAAAATTTACATAAGAAAAAAATATCAATTAATGTATAGGAATAATTTAGGTKTGTACTTAAAAATTGATACATATTTAAAATTATAATTATACTTATACAACTTTCTTCCCTGCTCATATCCCTCTCTATCTTTTCTTTTTTATTTATTTATAATAATAATAATAATAATCAGACGACTTGGCATTAGTATAAATAAATTATCCTAATAATTTTAAAATTAACATTAGCTAATTAAATAGTAGAATTGTCCATTGCCCAATAATTTAGAAACTGGAGATAATTAAAATGCCAATTAATGCACCCTGTGACGTTAATTGATAACTATTTTCTTTAAAAAAATTAAAGAACAAAGAAACATATTAAAAAAATATGTTAAAAGTTCAAAGCATGCATGAAGAATGCTATTTATAGATTAATTGAGATTCTTTAAATTTATACACTGGTGATTATCTCTCACCTGAGGTTTATAAAATATAAAATTTTTCAATGTTGGATGGAAAATTACAAAGAATGAATATTTTCCAATTTGAATGATATATTCTAAGTTTTGTACCATATTTAATTTGATTTAATAAGATATATTCTAAGCTTTATATCATATTTAATTTCATTTAATAAGCATTAGATGGGAGATTTTATTCTTTCATATGCACATTATCAAAATAATTAGTTAATTTAATTTCAAAATCTTATCTCCAAGTAAAACTAAAAATATGTGTTTTATATTCTTTTATATTCAATTAAGACTAAATTGGTGGACCCAAGTATAATTCAATTGATTAAAATGTTGATAACGGCCTTCTTTAAATTCGAATTCTCTTGTGTAAAAAAAATTAAATAAAAAGTTCGAAATATCACTCTCAATATTTGAAATTATTCATATACTTACCAATTCAATAATATAAATAATATATATAGGTTGAGTTAAAAATATAATCTCTAAAATATTCTACAAATCAGTGGTATCCCAAAATTTTGGATTTTGATTCCAATAATTCTTTAATTAATAACAAACCCAACTAATAAATGGTCATTTTACACAATGTAGTCTAACAGAATAGAACAGAACCGTAGAGGAGAAAAAAAAATCCATTTAAAACGTATTTTATCTATCTTTTCGGTTCATCAATTTTTTTTAACAATTAATTTTCTGTTCCACTAACAAACAAATTTAGGGTAGTTTGATTACTTTTGAAATGGTACCATTAGAGTTTGATTTGTGGTCTAATTTTTTTGTTTAGTGGCTTTAATATACCATCACGACATATTTGAGCAACGAGGATAATGCTAACACGTGGTCGAGTATTTGGACGCCACGTGGTGCTTAGAAAAATGATATAGTTGTTCTTTTCCCATAAGTTCTATTACTATTATTTATTTTTCTAAAAAAGAAATGCTCATTGAGGGTACAAGATAAGAAAATTATTTTGATAAATTAAAAAATGGTTGCTTTAAAGAACGATCTGTTATATTTTATCAAATAATGGAATTGTTGGGCTTTTTTTWAAAAATATTTTGGAAACTTTTTTTTGACAAACTATTTTTGTGAAATGATTGGTAGACAATAAAAATAATTCATAAAACATTTGTAATTTATTAATAGAAAGATAAATTAAAAAAGATGTCCCAAGAATGGTTATAATGAAGCAAACAACAAACGATTTGGATGTTTAAAGTCATTTTTAAAGCATTGGGGTATAATTTGCAGATTTTATAAGCCGTAGGGGCATGATTTTCAAATTTTACTAATAAAAAATTTAAGATTTCTTTTAATAAAAAAACAAAATTCTTAAAAATTTGCAATGTTGCATATGCATGGGGAGTACTATTGTATTATATAGGAATGGTTTGATTGGATCTTTACTATGACTTGGTGCTCTAAAGATTAAACAAAACCACGTTGTTTTGGAACAAAATAACATCAAATAAAAATCGACATTATCAAGGAAATATCTTATAAAACAATGTTCATAGGAAATTTTGTTCCCATATCACATTTGATTCTAGGCAAGTTGTTTGATTGTTGTGTTGGAGAAAGACTTGCACATAATTTTATATCAAATTTTTAATTGATAATAAAATGAGTAAGCATTAATGTATGAGTTTTTGTATTATTACAAATGGGCTTATAATATATATGATGTTTTTTTTTTTACTTTAAAAAATCAATAATATATGATGTTGGGTGTATATTTTTTTATTTTATTTTTTTAGTGAGCCAGGGTGACTTTGAAGGGTTGCTGCTTTTAAGTGAAATATTCTTTCAAATAACTACATTTTAAATGTAAAAAAGAGAATGAAGTGCTTCTCCAAAATATACACCTTTTCAAAGCTCTTTTAAAGTGAGTTTTGGATGATTTTTAGAGTGGTGTTTTCTTGATGTAATATTTTTTTATGAACATGGAAGCCATTTTAGCACTCCCTCTCAAAGAAATTTAATTGCCCTTTTTTTATAGGAGAATTTAAATGGCTTTTATTAAAATTTAATTTAAATGGCTTTTATTATATTTAAAAGCCATTTTACCAAACTCGAAAATGACTCAATTGGTCRAGACCTAGCCACAAGTGGCTTATTTATGTAGTGGTCGGCATTCCTAAGTAAACTACCTTAGAGATTAGGTAGCTAGGTAGCTTGAATTTAAAAAATACTTTTGACTATGTTGATGCTGAATTCTAATCTCAAAAAGATTATATGCTTCTAACTTGGCCGAGCTAAACGAAGCGTGTTATGCGAGGAGCGACCGGCATAGAAGGARCAAATACTCTAAAGCTAAAGTTCAATCTGGGATTCGATCTGAAATAGTCAATTTTAGACACAATTGTCTACTTGAGAATGATGAGTGAGATCGGTCCTTTTATAGACRGATAGAGAGGGGATCGTTCTGCTATAGTTGTTATAAAAAGCGGTTATACAATTATAGACTTTTAAGCTGTACACCTCAGAGATCGGAGATGCATACTACCTCAGAGATCTTATGAGCTACATAGGGTTAGGTCGGCCCCTTGAAAGACTTTTAAGCTCGGCCTCTATGTTTGTTTTATGAGTAGGATAAGTTAAGCGGTGTGAATTGGTCTACTTAGCATATCAGATTTTACTCTCCAATAGACTATGCAATCAAAATGCCATGAAAATTTTTAAATTATTTTTAATTAGCGAAATTATTTTTACGCTTTCAAAACTGATGTCAAACTCATCCCTAAGTCCCCTTAAAGCATATATTAACTAACTGACTACTTCTTTAATGCTCTTGAGCAAACACCCAGACATATTTCATATGTTAAAATATAAACTTAGTCCATATATTAATTTGAATATTGTATTTATTCAGTCTGTCAACTTTTAAAGAGTTTAAATTACTTTTATAAATTTTGAATTATACTTTTATTTAATTATTATCTTTAACCATTAAGTTGTGATATAGAGATAAATTTTAATTGAATTAGCACCGTGTCATAGACAAATTAATGAGCACACATGTTGTCACAATTTTCAAAAGTTACATGCATAACTCAAATACAATAATTAATTAAATAAGCCTGATTAATAAAATTCATAACATGATAAAAAAAATTCAAAAATTCAAAAGTTGAAAATGAAATATGATTTAATATGGTGAACTAGGTGAACATTTTGGCTTATAGATTAAATTTGTATTGTCTCATGCTCAATTAAACCTATATTTGGATAGGTGAGTTTACTTATTCTAAACTATGAGTATATTAATTATAGAATTATATACTAATTATGAACTTACTTTTACAAATCACAGGCCTCGTGAATCAAACATAAACGATAGTTATATAAACTTAATTATTATTATTATTTAAAAAAAACACATTCCGTTATACAATTTAAACACAAATCAAAATATGGACCGTCGAAAAAAATAAAGAAAACGAAAAGCTATTTTATTGAGGTTGTAAGATATGCAAACAAAGTCTCACCTTGACTAAAAGAGGGAGTGGTCCATGGTATAGAAGAAAGAAATTATCTACAAAACATTTTTGGTGAAACCAAAACAAAGCAAATAATTTATTAAAAATTTTAAACCCCTCCAGATTTTCTAGACATATATATTTAAATTTCATAAACTCTCACTATTTTTCATGAAATTTCATAAACTCTCACTATTTTTCTTTTCCCATGATTATTAATTTTATAATAATATAAAGTTAGCAAATTGTCGAGAGTGGAAGGACACGTGGAAGAATCCCACAGGCCAAATTCCAATACATGCGGGGTAGATGTTTCCCAATCGGGACGAAGACGAAACACACGTGGAAGAATCCCAAACGCCATGCTCACGTACACATATTTAAAAATTTTAAAAGAGAG